AAAAAAAATGCATTGACCTACGTCACTTTAGTTTTGTGTATTTCACTGTATATAAATTATATTTCAATAAAATGCATTAAAAAAAATAAAAAAAGTAAGTAACATCAACAGCAACCTTCTTTGGTGCAGCCAGAAATTAGATGCCACGTATAAGGAAGAAAAAGGTGTCATCTTATACTTTTTTAAAAATCTTCTTGGAAAGAAGATCATAAAACAAAAACAAAAGGACTCCCTATGGGCCCTGAAGTGACCACATCACAGTAGCAACAAGCACATCCAGTGCCAGGCACTACTAAGTAAAAGAAAAAAAAACATAATAAAAATAGTAATAAATTTCTGTTGAAACACTGCACGAAAGTTTTATAGACAGCCATTTTTGTGTCACCTCCTCTGACTGTTATCCAGTGACATTTCCACCCCTCACTTTAGCAGTGCCACTGCTACAAAGCCACTTGTTGGTTTAATTCATCTTCTCTTTTCTGTGTTTACTCTCTCTTTGGCACAGTACCAAACCCAAAAATCCGATTGCTGTTGAGTAGATTCTGACTCAATAGTGACTCTATAGGGCAGAGTATAATTGCCCCATAGGGTTTCCAAGGCTGTAAATCTTCACAGAAGCAGACTGCCACATCTTTCTTTTGCAGAGCAGCTGATGGGTTTGAACAACCAACCTTTTGGTTAGTAGCTAAATGCTTTAACCAGTGTGTCACCTTTAACCACTTTGATCTTTGTGGCACAGTTGTTGTTGTTATGTGTCATCAGGTTGGACCCAACTCATAGTGACCCCTCCTTCCGAGGTGGTATCACCTTAGGAGTAGATTGCCCACCCTTCCTTCTGAGGAGTGGCTAGTGGATTTGAATCGCCAGCCTTCTGTAAGAGGATTTAAAACCCCACAATTTTGTGGACCAGTGGGAATTGTGAAGGGTTAACACAGTCAAATTTTTTTGCAAATATATTTAGCCATATAAATAGAGTGAGCTTATTTTACCAAGCAAGTTTATCATAGCTTGCTGATTTTGTCCCTTTTTTTCCAACCCAGATTTGGGAACGGGGACTCTTACAGGGTAGAAGGTAGATAAACCTTTGCAGCTCTTCCTCCATTACACAGCTAGGGTGTGTGTTCTAAGTTTTGCCTAAAATACAGTGAGATCCTAGAACATATGAAACACATATATTTGAAGTGCCAGCAGCAAATAGAATTTTTGAATTCTCTCTGTAATTGTCTTTGTTCCATTATGTGCGTAATTGAACATCTTAAGGAAACTACCCATGACTTGACTATGAAGAAATCTTGTAATGTTCTCTCATAACTTGATTTTTTAAAAATAAACCATATTAAAAATAATTGCTTTATTAGCACATATATAGTAAAGCATGACATATATCCAAATATTACTTACAAAAATGTGTGACAAGAACATTGGAATGATGGGCTGAATATCTTCTAACCAGTTAATAGCGGAGAAGGAACTTTGTTTTGATAATTCATAACCAAGCAGCCTGTATAACTTCACATATTAAATTCATCTGTTTCCCAGAAGATGCGATGAATGAACTTTCATTTTATGTTTTAATTTCTTCTTATTTTAAGTTTTAGATTTTCATTTTCATCAAGTCCAGTAGCTCTCTAAGGGAACTGCTTTTTTCCCCCTTCTCTCTAGAGAACAGTGTATGATGCCAGTCTCTAGTACTGTGTATGTGTGTCTTTCTACTTCCAAGTCACTCATTTTGTCTTCTTTTCCTAAGCACTTAACAAGGGAAGTTACTGGCAACACATGCAATATCTAGCTTCCTTTGGCAGAGTCCATAGAAAACTATTTGAACACTAGAGCCCCAAAATCAGTAAGTGGCTTCTCAAGTCTCCATATAAAACATATTCAACATGTAACTTACATCATTCTCAAAACTGCATCCTTATAACAAAAATGCATAATTTATGTCTGCTTTCCCTTGGAAAATGCCATGAGATTAATCAGTAGGGGGTTTCTTAAATGATATATGGGTATCTGCTTATCTTGCTTCAAATCAGACAAAAATTGTTGTTTTTCACTACAGACAAGTCTCTAGCCCTTTATCAAACTGCTATGTTTAAGTTGATCTTTAATGACTCTGTAAAAAAAATCATGTAACTTACAAACTTGATTCTTGTGTTTAGAGAAGTAATATGCTCCTGATTATTGTCTTAGACTGCTTTATATTTGTTTATGTACTACTGAAAATTCTACATTAAATGACCAGACTAGAGTTACGAATTTAAACCTATTTTGATGGAGTAGAACTGAATAATATGTGTATTATTTTATTTCTTTTTTATTAACAGGAAGAATAAGTGTCAGCATTCAGACAAAACTCTGCTGATGGATATTTTTTCTTTGATATTACAATAAAGCATGGAAATTTATATTTAAGTTTACTAAGTACTAAATTGGATAATAATGCCTATAGATGACAGTTACTGTCGTGGGTACATACCTTTTCCATTCCTCTTATCCTGTGGTTGAAGATTACAATGTGTATATGGACTTATTTGGAAGCATGTGTGTATTCATAAAGTGTCTGTGCTTTCACATGTTGTATTTCCCCTTTTGGTTTTGGAAGTTTCTAGATCATTCTGATCTTTTAAAGGGATGTTCAATTTCTTACATAAGATTTTTCTAAATGGTTGGCATAGAAAGAAATAAATAATGGGGTCTAGACATACATTTGCAGCAGACAGAAGCAGAGTGAATTCTTTCACATAGAGTAAGATTTCTTTTGACTGGCAGCTGTAATGAGCTTCTGTTTGACTTTTTGTGTAAGGGATTCTGGCAATGTGGTAAGGAACGAAGCAGACAAAAAATACAAACACGATGCTGAATATATTGCGGCTAGATTTCTTCTTGACCGACATAGACTTCCTTCTGGACTTAAGCTGGGACTGAAATATTTTTCTTGTGATAGCAGTGTAGAAGAAGATTAACAGAAGAAATACAATCCAGAAGATGCCCACAAAGATATAGCTGGACACTTCATGCCACTTCTGTCCCAGTTGGTTTTTAAGTTCAATACATTTTATACGTGTAACCTCTCTCACACTCTGGTTGGTGAGAATAATGTTTGGGATGGCAAGAAAGAGCACCAGCATCCACACCATCACTGACAGGGCTTTACTGTAATTCACTGACTGGATGAAAGAAGCCAAAAGAGGCTTGACGATTTTATAGTATCTGTTGAAGCTGATGAGCCCAAAGAACACGATGCTCACATACATGTTGATGTAGAAGAGCACTGCAGAAACCCTGCACACAAACACATTCAGCTGCCAGGGGCCGAGGCGTGAATCGCTAAGGATCTTGAAAGGAAAGGTCAGGCTCATCAGGAAGTCAGCAATGACAATGTTTTTGAGATAGACAATGAAGCTCTTGGAGCTGGGCACGTAGAAGAATATCCATCCTGATACTCCATTGAGCAGGATCCCTGCGACAAAGACCACACAGTACAGCACAGGGATGATTTGCTGCGTTATCACCGTGTTCCGGGAGCAGTGCTCCTCTGGAGGTGCTGTGGCAGTGGAATTGAACATCTTGTAACTTCTCAAGGCAAAGGCCTGGAAAGAGATGTGAACCAATCATTCAGAGGCCACTTAACAATCTCCAACCCATTGCATAAAATTATAGGTGAGGGGCACCAAATACATCAAACACACCAAGTGCTTGAAACTGTTTCTATTCTGTGTTAGGCACTTTTATTTTTACTTTTGTTTTTATATACATGAATGAAAAGGAGGACGAGAGCATACAGAGGACAAGGAAGAAAAATTGAGAAGCAGGGAAGTCAAAGTACTTTTAGGTAATATGGAGAACACCACTTCCCTAAAATAGCATATGATTTACTGTAAAACTCCAGACCTTTGGGACATTTTTTTTTCTCCTAGAAAATCAATTTTTATGGATTCATAAAAATGAACCCACATGTTTATAGATATTTTTAAAGAGCTCTTGTGTTTCATAGGTTAACACAGACCTTACATTTTAAGTCTACCCTGTATATTTTGGGCATAGGACCGTATCTTGTAAACATTCACATCGGAATGTTAATTGGTATTTTTAGTATGGAACTGTGTATAACTTTTCAAAATCATGCTTTCCTGTGATTTTTTTCAATTGAGAATCTGATTTGCATTTTTGTAAATTAGAAAACAAAAATAAAGTCATCAGAATAACAAATTGCCTTTCAAAATTCTAGGTTCTCAAAATTCATTCTAGATCTGAGCTGTCTAATGTATGTGGACAATGGTTGCCACTGGTACACACTGAGCACTTGGAATTTGGTCAGTTAGATTGCAAGGCTTAAATATCAAGCCGAAGATTGACTCTGATTGGATAGTGAATTCACATGTGCCTTAGTGTAACTGAAGATCTTAGGGTTGTGTCACATTAGGTATTTTAAATTATACTGTGTTACGTATAACCTAATGGGGCTCTCTTTGGACAGAATTTAGTTACTAAAGGGCTCTACAGCAGGGCTCACTTCAGAAATAACATCCATCCTAGTAAAAACATGTTTAGAGGCTCTGAGTTCATCGCTTCTCTTCTGCATGGTTGCACACGGTGACCTGTTTTTCTCTTATATAGATCCACTACCACCATCCTGTTGATGTGCTATGATTTTACTTTCTATGAAGGAGAGAAATTATTTCTTCCTAGCATTTTGATGAAATTAAGAAAGCCCTTCATAATACTTGAAGTGTTTTTTTTTTTTTTTTAATTACCTTTTAAATGTAATATGATGTCTCCTTTCAGTGAAGTAATTTAGCCTAGTGAATGCTTGTCATCTTGGAGTGGCCAAAGCATTTCTTCACTCAAGATCCTGGATTATAGGAGGAAATTGAAGAATTAATTAAGTTAAATGAGTACCAGACTCTTTTTATTGAAGAGTTGTATCTGGTAGCAATTAATTTACTTTTTTTGTTTAGCATGTATAATTGTGAACTATTTCAACATGCACATCTTGTTTATTTTACTGTAGTTGGTCTTGGTTGTCATTGTTAATTTGGTTAATGATTTTTGTTAGAAACTACTTAGGAGTGTTGGGCATGAATTTTGTTTGTTTGGTTTTGTTTTTTCTTCCCCCATGGATATAGATGCTCAAATCAATTAATTGAATTACTGCATCTGGATAACTTATTTCAGCTAGGAACTCATAAGTCTAATTCAGCCTTTTTTAACCATGAACTTTGGCGTTTTGGTCCAGATAATTCTTTTTTGTGGGGGCTGTTCTTTGCATTATAGAATGTTTAGCAACATCCCTGGTCTTTACCTCACAGGTACCAGTAGTACTGCCACCTCCACACTCTAAGTTATAACCAAAAGTTACATTGTCTCATATTCCCTGGTGATGGGGGTAAAACTGTCTGTAGTTGAAAATCACATGTCTAAAGAGACTGACATGTAGACTTCCCAGAGGTAACACCAGAGGGCTATCCTGTCTGATGGGAAGGCACAAGGATGGCAGAGTGGCTGCTTCATTGGGTTCTGCTTCTGTCTAGATTGCTCCCTTTCCAAATTCTTTAAGCCAGAGCTTCTTAAATTTCAGTGTACATACACATCACCTGGGGATCTTGTTAAATTAAAGACTCAAATTCCATAGATGTGGCTTGGGCATGGTATTGTTGCTCCTGGTCCATGGACTGCATTTTGAATAACATGATTTTTTAGGCCTTGTCCATAGGAGAAATTTAATAAATATTTGGTGAGGAGGGTGAAGATCATGTTTTACTTTGCTGTAATTGAGACTCCAGGCAGGAAAAAGTTACATTCCAATTAGTCTCAAAATCTGGAGTTTTTCCCTGAGTTTATTCATTACAGATTTCATCACAATCATCCCATCTGTTTTAGTTTTCTAGTGCTCCTGTAGCAAAAATACCACAAGTGGATGGCTTTAGCAAACAGAAATTTATTCTCTCACAGGTCAGTAGGCTAAATATCCAAATTAAGGGCACCAGCTCTAAGGGAAAATTTTCTCTATAAGCTCTGGGGGAAGGTCCTTGTCTCCTTTCAACATCTGTGGGCCCAGCATTTCTTATGGATCTCC